ATGTTCATCTATAAAAATCATCCTTAGCTCTCAGGCCATCCCAAAACAAGCAGCAATATGGATATGGCCCATAGGCCATAGTTTACCAACTCCTGATCTAGACCAGTGCTGCCCGACAAAGAGTGTGAGCCACAAATGTAATTTTAAATTTTCTAGTAGCTACATGAAAAAATTAAATACGCTGAATTTAACCCAATAAATCCAAATATTAAACATTTAATCAGTATTGAAAAAATTATAATCAGACATTTTACATTCTTTGTACTAAATCTTCAAAACCTGCTGGATGTGGTAGCTCATGTCTGTAATCCCAACACTTTGGGAGGTTGAGACAGAAAGATCTCTTAAGGCCAGGAGTTTGAGACCACCCTGGGCAATATGGTAAGACCCTGTCTCTACAAATAAATTAAAAAATTAGCTGGGCATGATGGCATGCACCTGTAGTCCCAGCTACTTGTGAGTCTGAGGGAGGAGGATTGCTTGAACCCAGGTATCCAAGGCTGCAGTGAGCTAGGATCACGCCTCTAACTCCAACCCAGGTGGCAGACCATGATCCTGTCTCAAAAAAACAAAAACAAGAAAAAAAAAACTTCAAAATTCAGTGTATTTCTTTTTTTTTTTTTTTCTTTGAGATGGAGTCTCACTCTGTCGACAGGCTAGAATGCAGTGTTGTGATCTTGGCTTACTGCAACCTCCACCTCAGTTAAGCAATTCTCCCCTCTCAGCCTCCCGAGTAGCTGGAACTACAGGTATGCGCTACCACGCCCAGCTAATTTATGTATTTTTTTTTAGTAAAGAAGGGGTTTCGCCATGTTGGCCGGGATGGTCTCGATCTCTTGACCTTGTGATCCGCCCACCTCAGCCTCCCAAAGTGCTGGGATTACAGGCATGAGCCACTGCACCCGGCCTTCAGTGTATTTCACGCTTATAAAGCACCTCGATCAACAATTGGAACTAGTTATATTCAAGTGTTTAACAGCTCCACGTGTCTACTGGCTCCATGCTGGACAGCACACATCTAGACCAAATTACACCCTTGTCATAGTGAGTTAAAGCCTACATGGTTGGTCAGGCCTTTGGTCTTCAAATCTAAAGAACTATGCCTAGTCATCAATTCCTGGGTTTGGGGCCTTGAAGCTTCAAAAGGATACTTACCTTTCTCTCCACAGTATGAAAAGGCTTTCTCATCCAAGTATCTGCAGAACTGGTCTCCCGCTAAGCCAACAAAAGAGGTATTCCATGTTCAGTGCACCTACAAGACAGTCTCATGTTCTTCCTGCCACTTAACTCCTTTTAGCCTTCTCTAAATTCTCATATCCTTCTCTGACCACACCCTTAATTCAAGCTCCCCAAATGTTTTTTTTTCACTCATAAACATTTCTCTCTTCCACTTGCACCCCAGTGCATCTCTTCCCATGAAGGCTACACTCAAATTATTGCCAACGATCGTGGTCATCTACTGCCTTCTGTGCCCCGTTCCAAGGTGAGATATTATCTTCATTCCAATCAAGGCAAACAATTGAGGCACAGAACTGGGAGATCTGCAGTCTCTCACAGCCATTATCTGAAAAATTAAAGTTTAATCTAATTAATGTTGCAATGTGAGAGCCCCTGAACTTCCAGCCAGCTTATCCAGCAGGTTAGAGTTGTGTTTAGCACCCTTCATAAGTTCTTAAATTGATCAATGATCTGTAAAAAAGAAAGCCTTCAGGTGATGACACTTGTGCAGTGGGTATTCCTCTGCCACACTCAGCCTAAGGATGCACAAGGTTTTTTTTTTTTTGAGACTAAGCCCCACTCTGTTGCCCAGACTGGAGTGCAATGGCACGATCTCGGCTCACTGCAACCTTGACTCCTGGGTTCAAGCGATTCTCTGGCCTCAGCTTCCCAAGTAACTGGGACTACAGGTGCGCACCACCACACCCAGCTCACTTTTTTGTATTTTTAGTAGAGAGGAGGTTTCGCCATGTTGGCCAGGCTGGTCTCAAGCTCCTGATCTCAGGTGATCTGCCCGCCTTGCCTCGGCTTCCCAAAGTGCTGGGATTACAGGTGTGAGCTACCATGCCTGATCTTTTTTTTTTTTTTTTGGAGACAGAGTCTCGCTTTGTTGCCCAGGCTGGAGTGCAGTGGTGCAATCTCGGCTCACTGCAATCTCCACCTCCTGGGTTTAAGTGATTCTCCTGCCTCAGTCTCCCGAGCAGCTGGAACTCCCAGCTAAATTTTTGTATATTTAGAAGAAACGGGGTTTCACCGTGTTAGCCAGGATGGTCTCGATCTCCTGACCTGTGATCTGCCAGCCCAGCGTCAGCCTCCCAAAGTGCTGGAATTACAGGTATAAGCCACATCGCCCAGCCTAAGGATGCTGAATTTAAGTTGGCAGAGGCAAGGGGATGAAAAAATTAGGCCTGCAAAGCCTAAATGAGGGAGGTGGGTAAGGAAGAGTGGGAAGATTATGCTTTCAGTCTTGTTTCATAACCATGCATTCCTGAAGGTAAAGAATGGAAATAAGATGAACAGAGGTTCTGTCAATTGGTCAGTTACTTGGAGTGAGAAGCCCTATTGAGGTATCCCTTTTCATTTTTAGGCAAATCCTTGGGGTTCCTTCATGGGCACCTGGCAAATGCCTCTGAAGATACCCCCCGCTCGGGTGACGCTGACCTCCCGTACAACTGCTGGTGCTGCCTCCCTTACCAAATGGATACAGAAAAATCCTGATTTACTCAAGGCCTCCAATGGGCTGCGTCCTGAAATCTTAGGCAAGGTATCTATTCTTCCCATCTAACCCCAAACCCTGTTCTCAATTTCATTTCAACCTCAAAAAATGTATATTGTTATGCCACCACTATCCCAGCAGGGGGGACCTCTAACCAATTCATCTTATCCTGACTAGTCCCTAATCACCTTCTGAGGCCTGAAGGAATGGGCTAAGGACATCTTACCCCGAACAGTAGAAAATGATCTAATCTCAAAGTGGGGGTGGGTAATTAGAGAAATCAAATTTAAATTTTCTTATTTGAAACTTGATCTACTGCCCATGGTATGGGGAGAAAGGGAGTTCGAATCCTGAGGTACATTGGGAATGATCTGGGCCTGACCAGAGACATGACTGTCTATTCCACTCTACCACTGACAGTCCCATGATCCAGACAGTCAGAAGACACTCAGGAAGAAGTCTATCACAAAGACTGTACAACAAGCACCAAGTCCAACCGTAATTCCACGCTCCCCAGCTGCCAACCTCAATTCCCCAGATGAACTCCAAAGCTCACACCCCTCTGCAGGTCATACTCCAGGTCCCCAAAGCCCAGCAAAATCCTAAGAGCCCACCTAGAAGTCCACGTATGCTAGAACTCTAGGCAGGGCCTAAGCTAGCTGAGGTCCAGAAACACAAACCTTAAACTTCATATGGACAAGGTAGCCACACACTGAAAAACCTGTATAGCAAATGAGTGAAATAAACAAGAGCCCCCAGGCAGAACTGTAGAACAGGGAAATTTTGGGGTGGGAGTAAAAGCAAATTTGGAAAATAAACATTTTTTGTTGAATCTTTTACTGATCTGGATTTTCTATTCTTGCTATGGCTGCCTCTTGTAACACAATTAGGGGAAAGAAGGTGCGGGAAAATAAAGTAGGGAAAAGAACATACGGTGGTTTGGGTGGAACACATTTTTACAAGAATTGAGTCAGTTATACTCCAGAAATGACCAAGAGAAAGTTGGTCTGAATCATGGAAAGAAGGCAGAATCTCAAAAAACCAGTCCCTCACCTCTACCCACTCATTTTTTATCCTGAGCACATACAACTAATGACTTCAAAATCAGAAACAGAATTGTTGAACATAGTATGTGTATGTGTGTTTGGAGGTGGGGAAGAAAAGGTAGAGAAAGCCAAAGGAGAAGATACTAGCTTGTGTAAGACTTTGTATCTAAGCATAAGTACAAATATAGTTTGAAAATTGAAGATATTAAAGTGATTGGAAGACAGAGAAGAAAAACAAAGATGGTAAGTAGAAATTTAAGGCATGATGATCTGTCACACCTCCCACCCACCCACTACCATGCTTCAAACACCCAAATGGTAAGAAAGCACCAAAAAATTCATCTGCCCTACCCATTTTCTAGCCTCCAACATCTGTTTATCATTGACCTCATTTTACATTTTCCTGGCACTGGCTGTTAAATTTAATGCCCTTGCCAAACCTTTCCCAGTCCCAATGACGAAGTGTTCTTTCATGATCACTTGTCCCTAATTCCAAGGACAAAGTAGAGAACAGCTCATTTAAAATGGAGGAAAGGTACAAAGACTTCCCAGGGCCCCTCTAGTAAAAACAGAAAAGCAATCATTACTTAAAGCCAAATACTATTTGGGACACTGAATGAAGACTATTGAAGCAGCAGGTCCGCACTTTAAGTAAGGTCTTCCTATCCAACTGACACCAGCCAGTTACTGTTTCCCCTCTTCAACCCACGCTTTAACTGGTTGGCCAACAAATCAAAGTGACAGATGAGATAGGTCATTCCAGAGTTTCCGAAAACTATCAAACAGCATGCCTGCTAAGGCCTGGCCTATATGGATTTTAAAAGCAGCAAGTTTTCTCGTTATACATTTTTTGCCAGGTTTTCAACAATCCCGTCTCTTTTTTAATCTCTATTCTCCTTTCTCCCCAAGCCTGTATCTTCAGGTCATCATCCCTTAGCTATCACCAACACTAGTCCTCTGTGCCCCTGACTGAATCATAATTTGCTGTATTATACCATCAAGCTTATAATCAGTCCTGAATGGGATTTTGGTGCCTGTAATAACTCAAAAGCACTCTACATGCATCACTTCTTTTTCTCCTTCCTTCTCTGAGGCTTCTCTGTGATAGTTAAATCTCTGGCTAAGTTCTATTTGATTTCCCTGAAAATTTTTCCAGTTATGAGATGTAGGAAAAGGGAAGAGGAGGAAATTGGTCCCTTCCCAACAGCCATTTTCTTGGTTTCTCTAGATTTCAAGGAGAGTCAAAGATAAAATGAGTATTTTAATTCAATTTCAAAAAAAATGGTATATGACTTGGATAAGAAAGCATAAAATTAGGAGGCTTTTCTGGAAATGCAAGAAAAAGAAATAACCTTTAATATGTTCAATGATAATTTTCTGGATTTTCCTCTTGTGTCAAAAGCTATATATTTTCTCCTCAAAGCGGCTGCTCTAAGAACTAACTAGCCCTCTTTCTCTCTCTCTAGCTGGGATAGACTAATTCCCCTCCACCCCCACCTCTCTTCTTTCAATAACACTGCGTAGGTGTTAATGGCCTGGGCTCTCACCAATGAACAGAATTGTCCTTTAAGCCAGCAACCCACAGGCAGTGGCACCCAAAGCCTCACCCCCAGTTCCCAGGGCAGAAGCCACAGAGCTGGCATTGTTTCCACTGTCTCAGGAAAAAGGAGCCAAAAGCTGACCCTCAGCATAAATCAAAGCCCAATATGGAGAGGGAATAACTGCTTCTAGGCCCAGAGTAGGCAAACTGTGGGCATAAAAGGGGAGTTTTTGCAGCCACCTCATCTTTAGAAACAAGGGGGAAATTAGACCCTTTTCCACTATTATGGTCTACAAGGTACTCTACTGCTCCAAGGGGATCTGAAAGCACAAAAGGATCTAACGAGTAAGGATAACTTTTCCCAGGCTGGAGATAAGAGTGACAAACAGAAAGATGGGTGAATGTAATAATGTGTAGGAAGATGATGCTGGGAACCTCCATTCTTCACATGGCTGCCAGCCCTAGAGAGGACAACACAGTAAGAACCAGAACAACCACTCCAGACTGGTATAGCTGGGGAATCTTCAGGCCTTTTCCTAGGTCCCACATCTGTGGAGGAAAAAAAAAGGAATTTCAGTAACCAGGACACTTATGGTTCTGCCTCAGAAAGTAATTCTACCTAAAGGAATAGACACCTCTTCTCAGCGTAAGTCTAGAGAAAAGCATTTCTACCCTTATGCCCCACCTTTACCTTTCTCAAAACCCACAGTATGGAACCTATTATCCACTTATTCCAATGACAGAAAATCAAGTTCTATTGTGTGGTGATGGTAGGAGGAATGTTCTCTAGAATGCCACAGGCCCTATGTGGTGTACAAAAGCTTCCAGACTGAATAGTTACAACTTTTCCTCATGACCACACGTCTAGATTAATGTTTCTCAAAGTGTGTTCTTCCAAACACTTGTTCCTCAGAATGTTGAAAGCATTATATGGGACAAAAACAGTTCTGTGGTCATACAAAGTTCGTAAACATTTAACTGCAAGACTTTCTAAACAGTTTATTAATGCATACTGTGACTCTCCAAAAGAGAGATATAATATGCATGATTTCCTAGATACAGTCAATCACAGAATCTTTTTATGGAGGGAAACTCTGTTTATTAGAGGACTAGTATTTCTAAAGGATACTCTGACCTAGAACACTATTTCTCAATTTTGTTTTGACTGTGACTCTACTAAGAAATACCTTTTAAATTGGAACCCAGTAGATATGTATATATAATATAGGAAAATTGATAAAACAATATTTACCATTACTAACTGGTGCCATACACACACACATATTTATATATGTTATGTATAAAATAAATTTCATTAAACATTTCTTTTTCCTTTTTGTGGAGAATGGGGTCTCATTATACTGTTCAGGCAGGTCTTGAAATCCTCGGCTCAAGCTATCCTCCTGCCTCTCTACTTCCTTAAGAGCTGGAATTACAGGCATAAACTTCTGCACCCCGCCTCTCCAGCTGGCACAATCTTGGCTCACAGCAACATCCACTTCCCAGGTTCAGGTGATTCTCCTGCTTCCAGCCCCTGAGTAGCTGGGACTACAGGTGAGTCCCATCACATTCAGATAATTTTTGTGTTTTTAGTAGAGATGGGGTTTTGCAATGTTGGCCAGGCTGGTCTCAAACTCCTGACTTTAAGCGATCCACCTGCCTCAGCCTTCCAAAGTGCTGGGATTACAGGCATGAGTGACCACACCCAGCCCCAGCCTATATTTTCTATTCTGTTTAATTTCTTTTTTTTTGTTGGTAGCACACCACTAAATTGGTTTTCTGCCCATTGAGTTAAAACCCATATTTCTTTTTAATATTAAAAAATAGGCCGGGTGCAGTGGCTCACACCTGTGATCCTAGCACTTTGGGAGGCCAAGGTGGGCGGATCATTTAAGGTCAGGGCTTCCAGACCAGCCTGGCCAAAATAGTGAAACTCCACCTCTACTAAAAATACCAAAAAATGAGCCAGGCGTGGTGGTGGGCACCTATTTCCAGCTACTCGGGAGGCTGAGGCAGGAGAATTGCTTGAACCTGGAAGGCAGTGGTTGTGGTGAGCCAAGATTGTGCCACTGCACTCTAGCCTGGATGGCACAGAGAGACTCCATCTCAAAAAAAAAAAAAAAAAAAAAAGGAGACAGGGTCTTGTTATGCCTTGCCCAGGCTGGTATTGAACTCTTGGGCTCAAGCAATCCTCCTGCCTCAGCCTCACAAAGTGCTGGCATTACAGGTATGAGCCATCTCACCCAACCCACCCCCTGCTTTTTAAATTTTTTTTGAGACAAGGTCTCACTTTGTCACTTAGGCTGGAGTGCAGTGGTACAATCCCGGCTCACTGAAGCTTTGACCTCCCTGACCTCCTAGGTTCAAGCAATCCTCCTGCCTCAGCTCCCCAAGTAGCTGGGACTACACGTGCCGGTCACCATGCCCAGCTAATTTTTGCATTTTTGGTAGAGATGGAGTTTCACAATGTTGCCCAAGCTGGTCTCAAACTCCTGACCTCAAGTGATCTACCAGCCTCAGCCTCCCAAAATGCTGGGATTACAGGCGTGAGCCACCACACCCAGCCCCAGCCTAGATATTCTATTCTATTTAAATTTCTTTTTTTGTTGGTAGCATGCTACTAAATTGGTTTTCTACCCACTGAGTTAAAACCCATATTTCTTTTTAATATTAACAAATAGAGACAGAGTCTTGTTATGTCTCGCCCAGGCTGGTACTGAACTCCTGGGCTCAAGCAATCCTCCTGCTTTGACCTCCCAAAGTGCTGGTATTACAGGTGTGAGCCATCTCGCCCAGCCCCCACTCCTTTTCTTTTTTTGAGACAGGGTCTCACTTTGTCACCTAGGCTGGAGTGCAGTGGCACAATCTCAGCTCACTGAAGCCTTGACCTCCCAGGTTCAAGCAATTCTCCTGCCTCAGCCCCCCAAGTAGTTGGGACTACAAGAACCTGTCACCCTGCCCCGCTAATTTTTTGTCTTTTTGGTAGAGCTGGAGTTTCACCATGTTGCCTAGGTTCATCTTGAACTCCTGAGCTCAAGCGATCCACTGGCCTTGGCCTCCCAAAGTGCTAGGATTACAGGTGTGAGCTACCACACCCTCGGCCCCACATTTAACAAAACACTAACTTTGACTCTCTTGTGTCCTATGGATATCAACATATTAATATTACATTATAAGTAACTAAATGAGTCCCTGGGGCAAAAGCAGTCTTCATTTTCCACACTTCCCACATACGTGGCTGTCTTAACACACACATACACACATACGCCCACAGTCTCAATGTAAAACTGCCTAAATTAGGAGTCAGTTCAGAGAAAAGATGGAGAGAGCCCAGAAAAGAAAAAAAAAATCAAGATGAGAAGATGCTTCCACCTCAACCCTCAAATTGCTTCTAACTAGATCAGATTAGAAGTCAAGTAAATTCCAGGGTTGTTTTGCTTAAATAGGAACAGTGTTTCATAAACAGTTGAGGCCTACTGGATAGTGGTGGTAGGCAGTGATATCCCCTAGAATGCCACAGAGCCTATAACCTCCTAGACTTTTATATCAACCCTACTCCCCACTCTCCCATTAGATCTTCTGGCAAGTCAGCTGTCAAGTTAGAGGCCAAAAACTACAGGCAGTCACAGAAAACACAAAATCCTGTCCCACACTCAGAACCAGTACTTGCTAGAAGAAAAAATAAAAGCAGACTTAAGGGCCTTTCGGTTCCTTACTTCTCTCACTGGAGATTGCCATCACAGCCAGGAACCAGGACAGAAAAGCTCTAAGTTCTGGGATTTTGTAAAACCTCCCCACTCTTCCCCCCATTTTGAGACAAAGACAAATATAGGGCAAGTCTCTGCCTGAGCCAAAATATGAAGAGAGGAAGCTGATCAGCTGATTCTCTTTACAGAGCTTTGTTCTTTGGAATAGGAAGTCATTAATGGAAATGTCCTCCCTCTCTACCCTCTCCCCCTCAGGGAAGTGAAAAGTCATTTTAAATCAAACTGAACACTGCCCCAGGGAACAGTTGATACAGACACTTAATTTGTAAGTCATTTAGTCTCTCACTTTTTTTATTCCATTAAACTTTCTACTGGACCAGACCAAAATCCAGAAAGTATTCGAAGGCTATGATTCAGAAGTAATAAAAAGTCAAATTAAGGCAAAAGCATCCATCTGACAGTTGGCTCAGGTTCAGAAAATACAGAAATAATTGAGTTTTTTTATTTTTATTTTTATTTTTTTGAGATGGAGTTTCATTTTTGTTCCTTAGACTAGAGCGCAATGGCGCAATCTCAGCTCACCACAACCTCCGTCTCCTGGGTTCAAGTGATTCTCCTGCCTCAATCTTCTGAGTAGCTGGGATTACAAGCATGCGTCATCATGCCCCACTAATTTGTATTTTTAGTAGAGACAGGGTTTCTCCATGTTGGTCAGGCTGGTCTTGAACTCTCAACCTCAATTGATCTGCCCACCTCGGCCTCCCAAAGGGCTGGGATTACAGGCATGAGCCACTGCACCCAGCCAAGAATTGAATTTCAATTATCTTCTTGGAAGCAAAACTAGGGAGACTACAAAATATAAAACTTTTTTTTTGAGATGGGGTTTCACTCTGTCACCCAGGCTGGAGTGCAGTGGTGTGATCTTGGCTCACTGCAACCTCTACCTCCCGGATACTCCTGCCTCAGCCTCCTGAGTAGCTGGGATTATAGGCGAATGCTACCACACCACACCAGCTAAGTTTGTTTTTTTTTTTTTTTTTTTTTTTTTTTTTTTTTTTTTTTTTTTTTTTGAGACGGAGTTTTGCTCTTGTTGTCCAGGCTGGAGTGCAATGGTGGGAGCTCGGCTCACTGCAACCTCTGCCTCAGCCTCCCGAGTAGCTGGGATTACAGCCATGTGCCACCATGCCTGGATAATTTTGTATTTTTAGTAAAGATGGGGTTTCTCCATGTTGACCAGGCTGGTCTCAAACTCCTGACCTCAGGTGATCTGCCCTCCTCAGCCTCCCAAAGTGCTGGGATTACAGGCATGAGCCACTGCGCCCAGCCAAAATATGAAATCTTAAAATTCTAGAGGAGGGACTGATTTCTGACCTGGAGTAGGCTTGATTAAACTTTAATTCCTTTAGAAAAAAAAGATACCAGATTTTGATTTTATTTATGATCCACCCTCCTTGGCCTCCCAAAATGCTGGGATTACAGGTACGAGCCACTGAGCCCAGCCTATTTTATTTTATTTTTTTTTTGAGATGTGGTCTCACTTTGTCCTCCAAGCTGAAGTGCAGTGGCATGATCTCAGCTCACTGCAATCTCTGCCTCCTGGGCTCAATGATCCTCTCACCTCAGCCTTACAGGTAGCTGGGACCACAGGTACATACCACCATACCTGGCTAATTTTAGAAACCAGTTTTGAGCTGACCATGAGGTCACATAGGAGGCAACATGGATGGTTTTCACTCCACTACAAGATTCCTAAACTCGATATTAAAACCTGGGATTCTTGGCACCCAGTTGCTGTTAAAGTTGGCCTGTTCTGTCCAATAGCTGAAAGCAAAAATGCAATAT